CCGGCCGCGCCTGCTGCTGCTGCTGCTGGGGGTGAGTGCTAGCCGGAGGGGAGCCCGCTCTCTTTCCCTGGACCGGAACCCTAGGGGTCTAGGTTCCCCCGAGGGAAAACAGAACCAAGCGCTGGGCTCCCAGATGCTGGGGATGGATGGCGGGAGAGGAGCTCCGATGCCAGGGTCCACGGAGGAGCGTCTAGGGTTCTCAGGGCGCAGAGGAGACCCTGAGATCCAGGGTAGAGATGCGGACCAGAGGTGCGCACGGATGCGGGCACTCCGGTACCTGGGTGTGTGGGTGTGGAGGCGCCGGGAGGGGTCTCAGAGGAGGGGGTCCTGCGGTTCTTGGAACCTGGGTTCTTTGGAAGAGGGCGCTTGAATGCCAGGACCTCAAGGCGACTCCCCCCCCCCCCCCCGGGTCGTGGGACAGAACCCAGGCTAGAGAAGGATGAGGAATGCGACGGGGACTAGAGCTGTGAGGGGCAAGTGGGGCTGGAGATGCGGGGCTGGAACAATGGGGAGGAGGTTGGAACGACCGAGGGGACCGGGCAGCGGACAATGGGGACTGGCCAGACAATGGGGGGAGGGGCGTGGGAGGCATAGCCTCGGGGAGTGGGGGTCGTCGGTTGAAGAGAGAAAAGTGGGTTGGGTAGGGCAAAAAGGGACGGCGGCGAGGGAGGTAGAGAGATGGAAGCAAAATGAAAGAGGACGGAGAAGGAAAAGCGGCCCCTAAGGTGGTCGGGGCCCCGCGGGTCTGCCGAGGGGCAGTGGGGGGAGAAGAGGAGCAGAGGAAGGGCCGTTTTCCGCTTTTTGCGCTCCCGTCGTGCGCTCTTTCTGGCGGCCTCGCCCAGTCGGGGAATTGCGCGGGGGACGGGAGGCTGGGAAGGGAGCGCCCACTTCGCCGGGGTGAACTGTCCCCAACCCACGGGCTGCTCCGAAGCGCTTAGTTTCGCGTTTTGAAGAAGCGCATCCGACAGGAGGGGAAGAAGTGGGCGTCGTCCGACCGGGTCTGGCGGCCGCCGGGTCTC